AGTATCTCACTTATTCTGTTATCCCCATGTCATGAATGAGGAAACTCGTGCTTGGTAGCAAGTGTATTAACTTGCTGAAAGTCACATTGCAAGTAAGCAGAAAAGCCAGGGCTTGAATGCAGTTTCTTCTTATCCCACAGCTCATATTCTTAGCTCCTAAAATATACTTAGAGTACATAGGGGAGTAAGGATTCCAGTCCAGAGCCTTCTAAGTTTCTCTTCACTACATCCTGTTAAAATAGCCCAATTCTTTTTTTTTTTTTGGTTACACGGGCCTCTCACAGTTGTGGCCTCTCCCGTTGCAGAGCACAGGCTCTGGACGCGCAGGCTCAGCGGCCATGGCTCACAGGCCCAGCCGCTCCGCGGCTTGTGGGATCCTCCCGGACCAGGGCACAAACCCGTGTCCCCTGCATAGGCAGGCGGACTCTCAACCACTGCACCACCAGGGAAGCCCAAAATAGCCCAATTCTTATTTTGCTTTTGGGGATGCAGGAATCAGAGTCAGAACAGACTGTAAAGAATACAGCTAGCTGCTACAGAAAGTAAGTGTAAATCTTGTGGCTAGAATAAGTTATGTCTTACTAAATAAAAGAGTTCTGAGTTGAAAACTCTTTTTGAGATCTTTGAGAATCCACAGAGAATAAGAAATCTGCTCAAAGAAAAGGAATAAGGTGAATGTCATCCTGATTTGCAATAGGGAAAAGTATGAGGGTTCCCATGGCACAAGAAAACCAGGCTAGGTCCAGGTAGCACCCTGGGAGTCCATGCAGTAGAGAAAAAAGAGGCAAAACTGAGGGTGTGCAAAACGAATGAGCTGACTAGATGGTACAGACATACGAAGGACCTGCCAGCTCAAGGACAGTTAAGGCATGGTGGTCAAAGGAAGAGGATGGTAGGGTGGGATGGGGGATAACAGGATAGAATCTCAGCAGTAATGCTCGAGCTCCAAAAGGCTCACCCATTGCCATCAGGTCTCAAGTCGGGACCAAAACTCTTGAAGAAGGAAGCTTAGGAGAAGCAGGCAGGGGATTGATTCCCCACTCCTAGAAGGTGTTGGGGCAAACTTAGGGAAGGAAAAGGAATAGGAGGCCAACTTTACAGGTTATGAACATGAATGAACAGGGTAATTTGGAAGATGGCAGCTGATAGGCAACCAGAGCTTATCCCCATCATGAAAATTAGTTCACTGGTTAGTCACATGATTACATTCAAGTACCACTCAGTGGTGACGTTAATTCCACCAATACCCTGCCTGACCCTTTCATAACTGATGCAGGCACTGAGGTGAGCCCTGGTCTAAAGGCTGAGCTCATCAACAGATCCAGCAGAGGGAAGACAAAGAAGGCAAAAAAGTTGAAAAAATGAGGCAGGGACTGAAAACATAAAGCATAAGTAGATGAGCTTCACTATTTATACTTTATTACTTGTCTCTCACAAAACTTGGGGACAGATGATCAATGCCATGATTTGCAAGTACTTAGGGCAACATTACCAGTAAACCAATAGTAGCCCCCAGAAGTTCACTAATGCCCCGTGGCAGACGAATGGCGTTCCTTTTTATTTCTTTTTCTTTATTATTATTATTCTTTTTGGCCGTGCCCGCAGCTTGAGGGATCTTAGTTCCCTGACCAGGGATCGAACCCAGGCCCTTGGCAGTGAGAGTGCAGAGTCCTAACCACTGGAGAGCTGGGAATTCTGGCATTCCTTTTATGATAAAGTTCCAAGGCCCATGGAGGAGGGGAATGCTGTAAACATGAAGTCCTGGCTTCTACCATCACATCTGATGAAGTCTCTACACTCTCCTTATAAACAAAAATCTTAAATGCGAGGATGAGGACATCCTAGGGTAAATTTCTTTTTCTTTTTTTTTAAGATACTTTTTTTTAAAAAATTATTTATTTATTTATGTAATTTTGGGCTGTGTTGGGTCTTCGTTGCTGTGCACAGGCTTTCTCTAGTTGCTGTGAGCGGGGGCGGCGGGGGAGCTACTCTTCATTGTGCTGCACGGGCTTCTCATTGTGGTGGCTCCTTTTGTTGCGGAGCACAGGCTCTAGGTGCGTGGGCTTCAGTAGCTGTGGCACGAGGGCTCAGCAGTTGTGGCTCGTGGGCTCCAGAGTGCAGGCTCAGTAGTTGTGGTGCATGGGCTTAGTTGCTCCGCAGCATGTGAGATCCTCCTGGACCAGGGCTCAAACCCGTGTCCCCTGCATTGGCAGGTGGATTCTTAACCACAGTGCCACCAGGGAAGCCCCCAGCCTAGGGTAAATTTCTAACTGGCTCAAGGAGGGAATCCAAACACTGTTATTAGTGAATCTGTGCTAAAATAAAGGGAAGTTGCTAAAGGCATGCCACAGGCCTCTATCCTGGGTCCTGGCTAGTTTAACAATTTTAATCAATGGCTTCAAATGAGACCAATCGCTAGTAATCACAAATGTGACTGGAAGGCACAGTGAATAAGGTGAATGACAGAATCAAGATCCAGAAAGACTTCAGAAGGCTGGGGAGATAAGATATTCCATAGGAATACATGTCAAATCCTACACCTAGATAAAAAAGCAAACTGTAAAATGAACAAGGGAAAACGAAAACGGGTTTATGACAACATGTGTAAAACTAAATTAGAAGTCAGTTAAGACCACAAGCTTATTAACCTAAGTTAGCAGTGTCATGGAACAGCAAGAAGAGCTAATGAGACTTCCCCTTTAAGAAGCCCAGCATCCAGACAAGGGAATGGAGACCCCCAACTCTAAGCTGCATTGGATTGACCAGGCTCAGGGCACTGTTTTCAGACACAGATGTCATCCTTGAAGACAAACGGACACATGTTGAAGACCAAAAACTGACAAATGAGACAGGGTTGACAGAACTAAGGACTCAGTCTACAGCAGAGAACACACACTGACAGCTGGTAGGCTAGATCCAGAAGGCAAATGGCTTTAATTCATTCTGAACAGGATTTTAAAACTATCAGAAAATTTCACAGAAAAACTGAATTTAGGAGAAAAAAATTTCTCTTGGAAAAAAAAAAAGTCTGGCAATACTGAAAAAAGAGGTATAGTCAAAGCTCCCTTCAGTAGGAGCTGGTCTGCCTCCTATTGTCTGACATCTGGCCATCAGACTATTATAAATGAGCCTATAGGCATTTGAGTTGTAACTGCTGTTTTAGAGAAAAAGAGGCAAGAGGTAAATACAAAAGCTGTGTTCTAAGACCTGAAAGGTTATGCCTGGGCTAGTGATATACTAAGGGACTCTTCTGAAGAAATAAGGCCAAAAGGTATCAGGTATAAGGAGATTCAACATAAAAAATAACTTTCTAACAAAAATGGAACAATCTACCTGAGTATGTGGCCCTTTCTCACTGAAAAAGGGCAAGGAGAGGTCACCCCTCATCAGGGTCTCAAAGAAAACTGATTCACGGCGTAAAGAACTAGAAGAGACAACCCAAAATGTCCCTTCCAAGTCTGGGTTTCTCCATTGTTTTAATTTTAGGAGCTTTATCAGTACCCACCAACCACGGAGAGCACACTGACTGGGCCCTTTGCAGGATTTACTGTTTCCATGTCAACTAAACACAGTGTCTACTCTTGAATCATTATCCGATCCTCTCGGGCACTTTAATTTACCATAAATGTAAGAGAACCTTGTTTTTCATCAGTGTTGAGAGATGGGGGCTACTCCTGCATTGAAGTCATTCCAAGTTATGGTAAAGGGAATCACAAGGAGGCATCGTGGTTTAATGGACAGAAAACCAGAATAGGAAATGTGCTGGGGAAGCCTGGATAACTTTTCTAGACCTCAGATTTATTCATCTATAAAATGGGCACAAAACTTAGCCATGTCTCCTCTAGATCGCTGTATAAATCAAGTTAAATAATGCATGCAAAGGTGCTCTGACAACTATACAGTGCTACAGAAATGCAAGGACTTTCCAATACAAACACAGACCTGTTATGTCTTGCTTTTGTTTTGCCTGAAATGCATTTTACCTACTTGGGATAAGGGTCTGGATCAATCTATTTCCCAGTGATCCATGAATCTACCTATTTATCTACTACCTCTCTAGCTATATATCAAATCTCACTTTTCCAAGGCTTCTCAACCTAGGATGTCCAGAATTCTAAATGTATTAATTTAAGGAATGAGGTCATCACCGAGGTTATCAACCTTTATCCAAGTAAGGCATAGGAGATCAATTTTCTCCAAAGTAATGCTTTAAATTTGAAGTTCTGCATATTGGCTCACTAGGAGATATTTATTCTTTTCCACATAAGGCATCTCATTAATCACCTAGAAAGGAGTTACAACAATCCATACATCAGTTGGCTCAAGTATGCATTCTTTATAGATGAATGTTAACAAGAGCAAGGAGATACTACCTAAATATTCAGGGCCATGAAGGTACCCAATTCCGGGGTAAAAGTATATGATTTACAGTTATAAAATGTAAAATGACAAATCAAGAAAAGTACGTAAGCATCCTGAAAAGTTGCAAACAGATAGGTGAGAGGTAATCTCTTCAAGGGAATCTTAAGGTGTTAAGCTGTGCTACTTCCTAGCTGTGAAAGCTCACCAGTACCCTGACTTTGACTATTTATTAAAGCTTACCTATGCTCTAGACCATGCCTACTCAGCTTTAACAGATGAATGAAATAGTTTAAAATCCTTATGCAAATAAAAGTTTTCAAGCTTACATAAGGATTCACACAAACTAGGGTTATACAAATGAAATTCCTTTATAATTAAACTTTAAGAAAGAAAACTGCAGGGATTTAGGCATTAGCATTCCTTGTTGTTTAAAATGTAATTAATTTCCAGCACAATAAATTAAAGAGGTACCTATTACTTTTAACAGGCAATAATGAAAAATAACTTATGTGTATATATTTGTTTACAGGGTGATATAACTGTCACTGTAAGATTTTGTAACAAACATCAAGAGAAAATGAGAGAAAATGAGATAAAGTGTTATCAACTGAAAAACAAATAAACAATAATGTGCTTACCTGTAATACAAATTTCTGATCTATGTATTTTTTGGCAATGCTGGGTTGGAATTCTTGGCTTTCCAAAAATCGTATGAAAAACTCATATACAAGCTGCAACAAATAGGTTATCGTTAATTTCAAAATATAATTCACTGAGAATAGTATCAAAAACCTTAAAAAGCTCTAATACTAAAATTGACAAGGGGTTTAGTAGGTTTTAATATCATTCAACTAGCAGTGCCAGCCTTTCTTGTAGCTCACAGCTGCTGTTGTGATTTTTAACTTTTTAAATGTAAAATCTGGAAACACAGCCAGAGAGCAAATAAAAATCTCCCATAATCTCACCATTAAGAGTTAACCACTGTTAACACTTTAATGTATAAAACTCCCAATTTTTCTCTATACTTCTATAATATACCAATGTACTATAAATATATATATATATAAAATATAGTTTTAAAACTACTTTTACCATCTAAACAATATATTGTGGACAATTTATGCCAACAATATCTAAGCCATCATTCTCAAGCTGCAAGCAGTCCATTATACATATTTATAATGAATAATTCCAATACTCATAATTAACCAATATCCTATGCTTAGACACTTAAGTAGTTTTTAAATTACTTCTCTATTAAATTATGCCAGAATGTACATTACATAACATGCATCAGTGTGCACATGTTCAATTATTTCATGAGGAAATATTTCTAAAAGTAGAATTGTTAGATCAAAAGATATCCAAACATGTCAGGATTTTCAACATTCATTACCAATTTCCTTTTAGAGAGTTTATGGCAATTTACACTCCTCTAAGCAATGTATGATGGTGTATCAGGATATTCTCATCTGCAAAGAGTAAGAATACTCTCATCTGCAGAGTCAACCTCAAATAACCGTTTTAATAAACCATGGGGGATCATGTTTACACTCTTTGCAAAATAAATCTATGTTAAACATTAAATCCTGGTGTAGTATACAACAGTATATCAAAACCAGGACTTTCAAGAGACAGGTAGACACTGGGTTGAAAGCCTAGCTCTACCCCTTACTAACTGTGTGACCCTAGGCAAGTTAATTTCTCTAAAAGTCTTTTGCTTCAGCTGTATAATGGGGATGATAATCCCTGAGATTAATGTGATTTTTTATAGATATATTGCCCTCTGCACAGTGATTAACACATATCACCACTGTCATTACTGTCATTATTGTCTAAAACAGCATTCTCAAACTTTTTAGTCTCACTCCTTTACACTGAAAAATTATTGAAGACTCAAAAAAGCTTTCTGTTTACATGAGCTATATATATGAAAGTAGAAATAAAAATTGAGAAAATTTAATATACTTATTATTTTAGAACAATAAAATATATCGCATGTTAACATAACTAACATATTTTTGTGAAAAATAAATTTATTTTCCAAAAAAGTTACTAGGAAGAGAAGCAGTTTTTTTATTTTTGTAAGTCTCTTTAACAGCATATGAAAAGACAGAATTTTGGGCTTCCCTGGGGGCGCAGTGGTTAAGAGTCCGCCTGCCGATGCAGGGGACACGGGTTTGTGCCCCGGTCCGGGAGGATCCCACATGCCACGGAGCGGCTGGGCCCGTGAGCCACGGCCGCTGACCTGCCTGTGCTCCACAATGGGAGAGGCCGCAACAGTGAGAGGCCCCCGTACCGCAAAAAAAAAAGAAAAGAAAAGAAAAGAAAAGACAGAATCTTATCTGTCTCCATATTCAAGCTGTCGTAATATACTGTTTTGGTTAAAGTATATAAAGAAAATCAAGCTTCACACAAATCTACTAGTATGAAAAAGGGAGAGTATGTTCATAGTTTTTTCACATAATCGCGGATACTTTTCTTTGATACTACACCAGAACTTGAGAGTCATTTCTTGAAGAAAAGTTGCAGTTGTAGAATCTGAAACTGTATCAATGAATTTTTCATACCATTAAACTAAATTCCAATCATCTATCTTGCACTTTGGATGATCTTTACCCATGCATGACTGCCTAACATCATTCATTGGCCAACTGGAAAATATTGGTTCACTGAGTTACGGAGATTTTTCAAATGTTGACACATTTCATTACATAGTATCAATAAAAGTCACATTCCTAATATCTCCAACTTTATAAAAAAAAAGGCTTTAAGCTTTGGGGAGCTGTAAAGCTCAAGGTAACAGATAAAGGAAAGATACAGCTTTTCAAAATTCTAATTCTAAATTTTTCTTCAATGCTTCAATTTTATCAGTAGTAAAACAATTGTTTGTTTGTTTTAGAGAAAACATCCACCAAATACCCAAGTCAGAACAACCATAGTTTGTCAGGTATCTTTCAAGTAAAAATGACAGTTCATGAAAAAACAGCTAGTTTAGCTTGCAGCTCAAACAATCACACAAATGTTTTAGCACAAGACAACTATTCAGTATGCAGCATATGTACTTTATGCATACTTCCCATTTCATCATGAAGAATATTATCTTTAATGTGTACTCAAAGGTCAAGATTTAATAAAATTAATAATTTTTGCTGCTTCTTCAAGGACATTCTTGATTGAAATTGGCTTTTTTTTTTTTAATTGTAAGTGCATGGCAGTGAAGAATATGACTACTAGACTGGCACAATTGCCTTATTTGTGCTAACAGCAATTTCAACCACCACTGCTTTTACAAATATTAGTGCAAATGTCAACACAGTGAAAGAAGCAAATAATACAGTATTATTATAAAACTACTTTTGACCTTGCAGGCCACTGACAATTAGGTCTCAGGTCCCCCCTAAGGGTTTAGATACCACTAACCTAAATGTGTCACACAGTGACCTTGTGACTTCAGACTCTAACACTTAATATTAGGTATTCACATTAGGATTTTACTTCTTTATAAAACTATGTTTTTCTCTCTGGAACTCTGAATTCAGAAGAAACTTCTTTCCCAGTGGTCTGAACATTGCCAAGTTGTACTTCTAGTCATAATAATGCCTGAGTTCAAACACCCCCTAGAAGGATTGTTCTTTTTCCGATAAACTAATCTTTCAACTCTTGGTTTTACAAACAGAACATCAGCCTTGTTCAAATAACCCATAAACAGGGGTTTCATCTCTCTTTTGATTCCTACAAAGTGGAGAGATTCTCATCTTCCAGGCCTGACTTGTGGGCAAGCAGGGCTTTCCAGTGGGATTGGCAAAATGTCCTCTCCCCTCTGGTCCCTTGAAAGCAGTTATGGTTTAAAAAATTTGGTGGAAACACTTCAGACATATTAATTAATACGCATAAATGTTCTCTACTTTAAGAGACAGATTTTACCTCAGAATCAAAAATCTCCCTTGAGTTTCTAAAGGGAAAGACTAGGGACTGCAGAGGATAAATTACTTTTCAAGGTCACATAAGTGAATTCTTCAAGGAACACGAGTAAAAAGACTTTAGTATTCTGGTTTTTCAGTCTCCAGTGTAGAGCATTAAAAACAATCCCTTAATTGTAAATGGAAGTCCTACAAAATCGTATTCTACTAGAAAAACAGACCCAATTTCAAAAAATATGCAAAAAATAACCATGGTAACCATGGGATACCAGTTTAAAAGATACCAACGCAGATAATAGAAAAGATCAAATGACACACATACAGTAGATCTTTTGACATATGTGAACTAAAAATTTGTAGATTTAATACTTTTTCTTATTTTTAAATATCCTCAAAGATCCATGATTTGTTGTAATGAGTAATTCTATACGAGCCACAGTTAAAATCATAGTGTGCAGGAGCAGACAGTGAGGCAATGAGCCTAGCCAACCACCCAACAACCATAATGTGATTTTGTTGTTCTCTACTATTGTCAGAGATTTGGTAATAAACACCGTGCTTCCTTGCAAAATGTGGGCCAGAATCAGCAGCACACTGCTAATGCTGGAGTTAAGAAAAAGTGAAAAGGCTGAATAAAGTGCTGTTTGGGTCTGGAAAGATCGATTGTTGGATCAATCATAAAGTAAAATGTTGAATTTAGTGATGGGTCACCACGACATGAACGACCTATCACGAACAGAAAAGAAGTTTTCTTAAACATTCAACGAGGGCTCTTGCCAGTACTAAAACCACTTATTAGTGAAAATGGAAAGGTGACTGATTTGTGGAGTCAGAATATACAAAGAAAACACAGAATTCGTGAGACAAGTCAGGAGCCAGTACAAATACTTCCATAAAGCAAAAGACAGTGTCTTCTGACTTGGCCTTTGCTATGAATGAAGGTTGATTTGTGAATTTTAAGAGTAGATTTCTTTTTTTTTAATTAATTTTAATTTTATTGGAGTATAGTTGATTTATAATGTTACTTTAGTTTCAGGTGTACAGCAAAGTGATTGTTATACATATACATATATTCATTCTTTTCTCTTACAGGCTTCTTTACCTGATCCAGCCTATGTCATGTTTCCCCCTGAGCTAAAGAAGGGGAGAGAGGACTATAGGCTGAAACAAGATGTCAACACAGATGAAACCAGCCTGTTTTGGAACACAGTTTGTGACTTCAGATCCATTAAGGGTACAGGTCTCAGCATCACTCCTCACTGTTGCTTTGGTTTTAAGCATTGCAGATGAACTAATGGTTAATGTTCCTGTAGTAAAGACACAGTGTAAGCTCAAGATTTTTGGCAGAATTCTGCTTAATAGCTTTAGAAATTAATTTAGACCCATATTTTATAGAGTCATTAAGCTTAGCAAGGATTAACTGAAATATTGAGTTAAATATTGAGTATGATAAAGTTTATCATACTTTAGGGAAATTTATATCTATGGCGATCATGATTTAGAGTATTCAAAAAGCTCCTGCAAATGGCAAGAATGGACTACTCTCTCTTCCTCAGGATGTAGACAAGACAACAAGTTGAAGCTTTGAAGACATCTCCTTCCCTGTCTTTTCAACCACAAGATGCAGGACTTTTCTGAGAAAAGTATCTTTTTTGTTTGCTTTGTTTTTTAAATTTCTTCCAGGCTATACTGCACTTCTGTGAACTGGTGCCAAGCATCAAGAATAAGACATGACAAAAAGTCCATCCATTCAAAACAGTAATTCCATGTTTTGTTTTCTTTTTGGATTTTTTGTCACAATCTGGGATACACCATGAAAAGCACAAGTAGTTTTGCAAATTTCTTAGATTAAAGATAGTATGTCTGGCACCTTATAAAAAAAAAAAATCAAGCATCTAAGATAGTAAATCAACTACAATGTTTTAACTAATTTACTCTGTATTTTGGCATTGGTAGCAGGAATACATATGTATTACATGCCTAGGTAAGAGTTGAGAAAACACAGCCCCTAAAAGCTCTCCACATAACTAGGGGAAAGAGCATTACATGTGTATCTGCAGCAACCTTGAGCTTCCAAAGCAGGACAGGGAAAGCTGCAAATTTATGTCAATAATTCTGAAGTGGGGAAAAAAATAAACCCTTAGAATATCTCTAGGGCTTATCTCCCTGCTGCATAGTTTTCTGCCCTTCAGAAAGTCAACTAGTAACCGTGAGCACACTTCTACAAAGATGCAGTGACTTCTGCCTTACGGTGAAAATGGACAAGGTCATATTCCTTCTCTACCATCCCTTCCCTCCTCACTAGCTGTCACCCAGCCTCTGAGGACATTCTAACTGAATGGAAAAATGGCTTTGAGGTTCAGTACACTCACATTTCCTTGTTCTACTCATTTGAGAAATGCTGGTCTTGAAAGAAGGCAGCCAGGAAAGGAGGATGGAAAAGGTCTGGTATGGATAAGTAAATACAATACAAATGGGCCTGGTGCTGGGAAAGGAGATGCAGGGGTGGTCCTAATCTGTCCTGGCACATGAGGATGATTGGAAAACATGGCCTTCTCAGTGCAAGAGTGCAAAATTGGCCTTTGCACAAGATTTTTCTCAGCTATTGCTCTTCCTTACAACACTGTGAAATAGCTATTGCAATTTGATTTTGCCCTTCCAGGCTAAAGAAACACATTCGTGGTTATCTTGAAGACAGGCATTCAAAGTCCCCCCGGGTACCTAACTGCTGAAAATGAGGTACGTACTCTGTGACCTAATCACATCTAACTAATATTAATGTGAACATAGTTCTGTTCTTGTTTGAGCCTCCAGCAGGAAGCATCACACAGAAGCTCTAATAAATACAGCTGGCTGAGCATGCAACCCAGGAGGGCCCACCCTAAAGCATTATAATGCTTATTATTTGATTCTTTTGGCATCCTAATTATCAACAGTAAGAAACATAAAAAGCATTCTCTAGCTTTCCAGTAATGTACTCTAATTTGATTTCTTGGTGAATAAGGCCTTCAAGGAATTCCCATGCTAATCAGCTAATGAGTTAATGGATCTTTCTTTTATAACAAATAGTAGTTCAAAGTACCTGTAAGTGTGGCCACGATGCCTCAAGGGTAGGTTCATCTTCTTCTGGATCAAATTCATTGCTGTCACTAGGAGGGAGAGTTCTGAATATATTGCAAGACACCTAAAAATAAACAAGCAGCAGAGTTAGCTGGAATGGAATCACCTCCTCAGCAGCCTTACACAAGGTCTTTGCAGCCAGCAGAAGGGAACCCAGACGACAGATGACAGGAACACCACCAGACTGGAAGGAGAACTCTTTCTATAGGCTTTGAGGCCAGAACCACCTCCAGGAAAAGATGGAAAATAGCAGAGCAGCACCCTCTTGACCAGTACTTGTAGTCCTTATAAGGCCTCCCTCACCCAGGTCCCTGTGATCTTATGCCTCCTATCAAAGCTTGTGCTTCGTTAATTATCAGTCAAGCGTGCTCCTAATTAATCAGTTTATACTAAAATATAAATAACTGTTAATGGGCTTCATGTATTTCCCTTCTCAGGCTTATTCACGATTTGCAAATTTACAGTTATACTAATAGTAAAATTTCAGGCATCTACAAAAAGCAAATCAGAAAAGATATTTCAGAAACTGAAGTTCTTAAAATCATATCTAATCTGTTCTCAGTTGGTTTACAAAATAGTAACAATGCCCAGGGTAAGATACATCTGTAATACAAATTTCTATAGACCAGGTATTTCTTTACCATGGGAAATTTCCAGATTAAATCCTGGATGCTCAAAGAATGGCCATGAGTTGATAACTGTTGAAACTGGGCTATGAAGAGACGAGGATTCATTATACTATTCTACTATTTCTGCATATATTCCAAGATTTCTATAGTAAAATGCTTATTTTTAAAATGCTGTTGCTACTGTTTTGCAGTAACCTACCCAGGGTTCCTTCCAATTTCTATTCTGTTTCTGGTTCTATTACTTATCTATCCTCTCCTAATGACCCAAATGTATCCTCAGATCTAAAAAATAAAACAGGGGTGGGGAGGGAATTCCCTGGTGGTCCAGTGGTTAGGACTCTGAGGAGGGCCCGGGTTCAATCCCTGGTTGGGGAACTAAGATCCTGCAAGCCGCCACTGTGGGCCAGAAAAAAAAAAGGAGGCGTGTGGGGGGAGAGATTGCACCAGAAGCCTTTGCTGGACTTTCTGTATAAAGTAGAAAATACGAAGCTATGATATGTTGCTCTGAAAGAGGGAAAAAGAAAGGCTTCTGGAGGCCCATGTAATCTGAATGTGTTTACTCATTCAACAAATAATTATTAAGTGCCCATTATATGCACACACTGTTCTGGGCACTGGGACAACAGCAATGAACAAAGCAGAGAAAAATCTGTGCCTTCCAGGAGTTCATATTCTAGTTAAAGTCATGATTATCCCTATTTTCTAGATATGGAAATTAAACCCAGATGTGTAAGCTCTGGAAAGAAGATTTGATTTTATTCTAAGCTCAATGGGAAGCCACCAGTGGATCTAAACAGGGAAGTGAAATGGTTTGATTTTTACTTTAAAAAAAAAAATCACTCTGGCAGCTATGTATAGAACAGACAGGAAGGGGACAAGTTAGAAGTCTGTGGAAGTGGCAAGACATGATGATGGCTAGCAGAGAAGACAGAAATAGAATGATTCAAAATATATTCTGGAGGTAGTATTTGCTGCTGGCTTGGATGTACGGGGTGAACGAAAGGAAAGATTAAAGGATGAGTCACAGATGTAAGGTCATTTACCAAAGATGGAGATGACTGGGAAAGGGAAGTTTTCTTTGTTTCCTTGCCTTGGTGGGGAGATCCAGAGATCCAGTTAGAAATATGTTAAAGGAGCAATATTCAGGAGCCAATCAGACACATGAATCTGTACCTCAGAGCTGGACAGGTCAGGACTGGAGACATACAGGGACTCAGCAGCATGCAGATGATATTTAAAGCCATGGGACTAAGGGACCTCCTTGGAAAGGAATGAATAGAAAGAAGGGAAAGGACCCTGAGGTATCCAACATTTAGAAACCAGACAGGAAAAAAAAAAAAAAAAGGCAAAAAAAGGCAAATGAAAAGGAGTAGGAGGTAGGAGAAGAAAACAGTAGAGTAGGGGGGGGTCTTAGGAGCTAGGAGAGAGGAGTGTCTTAAGAAGAAAAAAGAGGACAACAGCAGCAAATGTTGCTCTGAGGTGGACTAAGATGAGCACAGAGCAGCACTGAAGTGGGTACTGTCATTCCCCAATTTACCACTGAGGAACTAGAAGCATGGATGTGGAGATCTGAGGTTACCATTAGTAACCAGCAGCTATGACTGAACCCAGGCTGTCAGGCTCCACTACAGTGTTCTAGAAAAGTGGGCAGACTACCTCTTCTGCTCTCCTTTAGCTTAGATGACTGAAAAAAAAAATTATCATAGAACATTTTTGCTATGGCTAATTACAGCATGCACATTTATATTATTTTACCTTTGTTCCTTCCAATGATTATTAAAAATTATGATTACAAAGAAACTGGTGACTTTTCAAATAATCATCAACCAATGACTTCTCTTCAACCAGCCAGTCATACTGTAATCAAAAGAGCAAAAATTGGGTTTCCCTAGTGGCGCAGTTGTTGAGAGTCCGCCTGTCGATGCAGGGGACATGGGTTCGTGCCCTGGTCCGGGAAGATCCCACATGCCGCGGAGCGGCTGGGCCCGTGAGCCACGGCCGCTGGGCCTGCGCGCCCGGAGCCTGTGCTCCGCAATGGGAGAGGCCACAGCAGTGAGAGGACCACGTATAAGAGCAAAAATCTTTTAATTACTTGTTTCTGAATCTTCATTAAACTATATGTGTATTTCAGAAACTGAGTTGAGCTTTCATCCCAAGTGCATCATTTATATTTACTGTACTCTGTAACAAGCTTTATTTTCCTCTCCCAAGATGTGAAAGTAAACCAAGGAAGGAGGGGAGGCAGGGAGGGAGGCAAGGAGGGAGGGAGGAAGGACAACTATACTTCAATAAAAATTAATAAAAAAAAGAGAGAGAGAGAGAGAGAGAGAGAGGGAGAGGGAGAGGGAGAGGGTGAGAGGAGGGGAGGGGAGGGGAGGGAAGGAGAAGAATGTCTTCTGTAATTAAAAATATGGGCAGGGCTTCCCTGGTGGCGCAGTGGTTGAGAGTCCGCTTGCCGATGCGAGGGACATGGGTTCGTGCCCCGGTCCGGAAAGATCCCACATGCTGCGGAGCGGCTGGGCCCGTGAGCCATGGCCGCTGAGCCTGCGTGTCCGGAGCCTGTGCTCCGTAATGGGAGAGGCCACAACAGTGAGAGGCCCGCGTACCAGGAAAAAAAAAAAATCTGGGTAAAAGGACACAAACTTCTGTTCCTCTGAACTCTCTGACACATTAAGACTCTTATGGTGCCCATCATGGGCTGCAGCAAGTATTTATTTACATATATGTCTCTTCCCACTAATTAGGAATATGCAATGTCATATTCACATTTGTTTTCTTGGCACATATGGGGCATCCAATAAATGTTCACAAAATAAAGGTTTGGATATATAATAAAACTGTATGCTTTGGTTTTGCTTTAACCAAATTTAAATTTAAATTTTTGAGTGATTTAGTGATTATCTAACCTAAGATGTTTAACTCTGCACAGTGTTCTAAACCTCTCTTTTGGTCAAAGCTTCATCTCTCAATTATCATCACATCAAAAGAATGTTGAATTGTGTAAATAATCCAAACAGCAAATAGTTCTAAAGGCATGTACATCTCACTTAGCCACACACTGCCATATCTTCAGATCTGCCTTCCTTATGCTTTAGTATACTTCTAAACATTTAGTGTACTACTAAACATTCACCATGAGTAATGAGGAAGCAAGGATCTATTAGGCTGGACAATTAATAGTCAAGTCAACTGGTTAAGTAGTTCTCTATCACAAATGGAAAGAATGTCAAAGCAAATCAAGTGTCATGGAAAAGGCCAAGCCTTTGACCCTGCCTAGCACACAACAGGTGCTTAATAAAAATGTCATGAATGAATGAACCATTGCTCTCGTCCTTGAGAATCTATCCTAAGAAACTAATCTAAGACAAGACTGAAAAAACTACTTAAAGCAGTCATTTGCAACATTCTCCAAAGAGTGTAAAACTGGAAATAACCTTTATGTCCAACATTAGAGACGTACATCTATTTAGTAGAACACTGTGTAGCACTGAAGATGATTGCTATATTGAAGCACAAAGAAATGTTAGAAATAAAGATTTAGGGGGAATGATGATGTGACTATAATGGTGTGACTAATTACAAAGATAAGAATGAAAATGGATAACTAAAGGGAAATTAAGAAAAGCTGTATTAAAGCAAGAGAAATATGGATAAAACTCAGTAGTTGCTGTTTATCCTCTTGGGACACACCAAATTAGTCCTAAATCCATAAAAAGCATAAGTTATCGACATGCAGTATGTGAGTTATGCTTTTAATTTCGAGATGAAAATGCGCTCTTGAATTTGAACAAGATTATTACCGTCAGGAGAGTTAAAAATTAGTGCCGCTCACAATGCCTAGAGCCTAGCTCATGAATGAATGGTTGAAGGACTGAATGACTGGACCACTTTAAGTATACATTTGAGCTCCAAAATCATGAGTTTAAAATTGGGTCATCCTTGAATGGGCTGGGGGAAGGGGCGGGGGAGAGGGGAATCCTCTAAATCTCCTGAATTTTCTGCAACACTTTGTATGTGTGAGCCCAATTGGGGAAAAGATCCAGTTGACTTCACAAGATTTTCAAAAGACTTCCAAGATCTAAAAATGGTTAAAAACCACGGTACAAAATAATAAATTTGCAACCATTAAATCTTCCTTTATCATGGCAGCCACTTCTGATTTATAGCCCAGGTTTTAAATGGATTATTAAGTAGGTAACATAATTAAACAGGTAATGGTAGTTGCGTGCTATGAAAATGTATCATGACTACAAGTAACCACCAGCATCACTCCTCACCACAGAGCAGTATTGTAAAGAGTCTATATAGCTAGAAGAAAATGCATCCAGGTATTTATAAAGTCACAAACTATCTCTATTAATATATTTAAATATATGAGGCTCTAGCCCTAAGCCTTCTATTTTAGTCCTTCAAAGACAAATTATCAAAAATAAAC